GTATTTAAAGTGATTATTATTTATTAAAAATATATTGGGATCCTTTCAGTTTTGCTCTCATAGGTGTCGTGTTGGTTGATTGAATTGAAATAAGGTATCTAAAACTTTGTTTGTCTGTCTGAAAGGACACTGATAGTGGGACAGCCTAGCTGTAGAAGCATTCTAAACTAGGAAGACTGCCTTAAACTACACGTGACGCCTTCTGTCTGCCAGGGGATGGACTGCTTATTGTTTAATGTTTAAGTACAGAAAGGAATAAATTGTCCCACATTGAGTGGTAAGATAAAAGGCTCCCATTTTGATATCTAATTTGTATTTCTGATCAGGAGCATTATTGCTGTTCTGTTTAATTATATTCTTTTTTTCTGAAAACCTAATTTGTATGTTGAGACAAATGTAGGCTTCGGAGAGAAAATCTGGCATGTCTGTTAATGTTTCGTTTTGTAATATGTGCTTAATTGTTTTTAACGTGTAGTTAGGATAATTTGTTAGATGTGTTTATGGCTTACCACAGCATTTTAGGCAAAATTAACTTGCAGCACTTTATCAGTGTTGGCATTGTGCATTTTCTTTGGACTTACATATTTAATTTGTACATCGGAGAAAATATAGCCAAACATGTTAAGCTAAAGATGCCAAATGTGATGACTGTCTTTTGAGATTCACGGTGGCCAGTAACCGTGTGGTACTCACTTTCATCCTTTGTCCTGCCCTCCTCCTCTTTCTTGGTGTTGGGAGATTTAATCCTCAGCCTCACGTATGCTGAACAGATAGTTGGCCGTGGAATCACTGCAGCTCCTTGCCACAATACCCTTGTAGTACTATCCTGGAATTACTGAGCTACTCCGTGATTCAAAATCATTCAACAAATACTGCATGGTAGGCATGGTGCTAGATACTGAAAATACAAAAGCAAAATTGTGCTTGACTTCAAGTTACTGTCAGAGTCTGGATAGCCACTTACTAAGGTGAAATTGGGAACTCTGACATTGGCTAGGAACAGTCTAGGTAATCATTAAAGAGAGTGTTCTGGTTAGCTTCAGTTGTCTGCTTGGCATAGTCCACAGTTATCTGAAGGAACCTCAACTGGGGATTGCCCAGATCAGATTAGCCTGCGTGTGACTTATCTGTGGGGCATTTTCTTGATGGCTAATTGATGTGAAAGGGCTCATTCCACTGTAGGCAGTGTCAGCCATAGCCAGGAGATCTTGTGCTGTATGAGAAAACTAGCTGACAGTCAACAGCCTCCTGTGGGTGTCTGCTGCATTCAGTTCCTGCCTCAAGTTCCTGTCCTGACTTCCCATGGTGATGGACTCGTAATTGGAAGCATGAGCCAAATAAATCCTTTTCCCCAAATTGCTTTTAGTCGTGGTGTTTAGCATAGCAGCAGAAAGCAAACTAGACATGGGATTTGCTCAGAACTCATGGTCTGTGACTCTGTTGGTTGATTGGTATGAGAATAGGAGATAAAGAATAGAAATTGAGGATGAATGATTAAAAATAAACAAATACAACTAACTACTTAAGGTAATGTTTCAGAGATATTGCTGAAATAAAGGCGCTCAAACCCTTAATCTTACCTAGTACTTGGGAAGCAAAGGAAGTAGATCTCAGAGTTCAAGATCACCCTAGTCTACATAGTGAGCCGCTGCCTCAAAAATAAAAAAAACGTGTTGTGCTCAGATTATGAATGAAATTATTACACAGGTCAAAGTAGAGCTTTGAAATGAACTTAATGCTTAAAGTTGTCAGATTCCAGCTCAAGGTTTTTGAAAACTTTGCAAGCTATTGTGAAGATTTCAGATTCCTGTATCTGTACCAGATAAACCTTTTAAATGTGTGGTTCAGTTCAGTGATTTAACTTTAAAAAATCTGAAAATGATTTAATGGGCAGTATATCAAGAACTGTTTAATATATAAGATCAATCAAAGGATTTTTTTTAAAAAGTGAGTTTAACCAAAAATTATATTTAATTCAAGGTAATCTTAGCTTTCTTTGGTTTGTTAGAGTAATTTATGGATGCTTATCTGCACATCCTCTTACCAAGTAGAGTTGGAATGCAAAATATTTTGACTATTAAGCTACTCTTTTAAGAGTTACAATGTTTTAAAAAATTAAAGGCTTTTGAAATAAATGTGCCATTTGGGTCGTTTTTTAATTTTTAAGGTTTACTTTTTCTATGTATGAATGTTTAGTTTGTATGTATATGTTTGTGCACTACATACATGCTTCGTACCCTTGGAGAGCAAACGAGGATGTTGGATCCCCTAGAGCTGGAGCTAGAGATGGTTGTGGGCCTCCTTTTTGGTGTTGAATGAACCTATGTTGCCCACAAGAGCATCCAGGGCTCTTAACAACTGAGCCACTCTTCAGATCCCTAAAAGAGTAAACATTTAAGATGAATTTAAGTGCTTCAAATAAGTTTAGATCTAAGTAGTATAGAGAATATAATTTGATGTCATCTGAATTCAAGACTTAAGTACCAGCTACCATAGAACTCAAAGTACACAGTTGAAATGTAGTAAATGACTTGGCCTGCCCTATGCTGGCATCCTCAGGTTATCTTTGGATGCAATTTTTATGCTTATATTTTGTAATTCTCTTTTCTGTCAGGTTGTCAGCTGTCTGTGAACATTTATCATTTAGTGTTTGTTGCCAGAAGTCAGTTCTCTCTTTAATCTGCTGTAGGCTGAGAAACTGCAAACAATTGATTGGTTTACTTTGTAAACAAGTGGTTGAGTCTGCCAAGATTCTGAAGAATCCATCAGAACTGTAATGTTTATTTAAATCTTGACTATTTTATCAGCTTTGTGAAGTTTTCAGAAAGAAATCATCTACTCACATGGAAGTCTTCAATAGATAACCAACTTGTAAACCCTTTCAAGTATTCTGTTCTTGTGGTGACTCAGCAGTTAATTGGTTGCTCTTTTAGAGGACCTGGGTTTGATTCCCACCACCCACAAGACCATCTTGTAACTCTAGTTCCAAGAGATCTGATGTCCTCTTCTGGCTTCCACAGACTGTACACATATGATCCACAGGCATACATACAAACAAAGTATTTATATGCATGTAAAATAAAAATAAAGATTAACTTATAAAAATATTCTTTACCTCTGTAATATTGTAGTCTTATTTGTGTTTCAAATTCCTCATCCAATAATTCTTAGAAAACATACAAATTATCATGTTTTAAATTTCCTCTTCTAAATTTTAAAATTTGTATTTATTTATTTGGATGAGATCTCGTGCCATGGCATATGTATAGAGGTTAGAGTCTGTCTCTCCTCCTGTCTGTGTTCCACAGGTTGAACTCAGGATTGTCAGGCTTAATGCCAAGTGTCTTTAACACTGAGTCATCTCACTCAGCCTTGCCTTTTATTTTCTTTTGTTAAAAACTTTTTGTTATTGGAGTTAAAGTCATTTCTGGATTATGAAGTTGTGTAATGTTTATTCTGGAGTTGTTCCTTCTGTTTGTAGCTCTTTTTTGTTTTAGTCCCTGGGCTGCTTGTCTGATCTATCCAAAGTTTCTCCATTTACTTTGGTTTTCTCCATTGGCAAGATGTCACCCACCCCAGCCCCCAGACCAATTTGGAGTTAATTTGACTTTTTGATAAGAACTGCATGACTTTCCTTTCCTTTGTGTTCTTCCCTGACCTGAAATACTGGGGCTGAGAAACCAGCTTCCCCAATTCTTAAGGGAAGGTTGGTGACCTTCCCTTAGGTGGGGCACTTTTATGTGTGGTACTGGAAATTGAACTCAGAGTCTTCCATCTGCCAGACAAGCACTCCACACTGAGCCTCACCCTCGGCCCTGGATTTTCATCATGGGGTTGTCATTCTTCCATGTCCTTCCGAACTGCAGATGGCATTGGAGACTCTCAGAAGCAAGAGTTCAGAAAAATACCCGGCTGTCTTTTCAGGCTAGCCTTCTTTTAACTCACTGTCTTAGATCTGTCCACATCCTGCCTGGCGTCTGCCTCAGTCTGGCTCCTTTCACTTTTCTCTCAGGAACCCTTGCTCCCTATTTTCCCACAAGAGTGGGTGATGACTGTGATGGAAATAGTTGAGGAGGATAAAATATAAAGCAGGCCAAATTAGGAAGGTGCTAGAACCATAGTTCATTCTTCTAAGGTTGTTTTAAACTATGTGATCACTGCTTTATGGAGGGGAGCATTTATTAGAATTAAGCAGAGTGTAAAATTCTCAACCAGTAATATTTATGAAATTACCAGTTATCCCCCGTTCCTTTATTTATAGGTCCTTTTAAAAAAGCTCTTCATATTTAATCCCAGCATTCGAGAGGCAGGGGCAGGAGGATCTCTGAGAGTTCGAGGCCAGCTTGCTCTACAAGAACTAGTTCCAGAACAGGCTCCAAAGCTATAGAGAAACCCTGCCTTCAAAAACAAAAACAAAACAAAAAAAATCTTTTAATATTTGAGGAATATGGTTAACTGATTTTTATTAGCAAGCACAGTAGTTTTAGATTTAATTGGCTAGAGTATTTACTGCTATAGAATGGTATCTAGCTAAAATTCTAGAAAGTGCTGTGCTGTCAGAGGCTGGGTATGAGTGTGAGCAAGAGTGAGTGAGAGTCAGAGGTTCTCAATACTCTGTATTTTCGGGGTCCTGTTATATTACTGAAATTGATTCCCAAACTGTGAAATTGTTTCTGTTAAGCCATGCCATTTGAATGTACATACTAGAACTTGAGACCAGATAGTAGCAGTTGCTAAGCTTTAAGAAAAGAGACAGAGCACTGTGGGAGAGCATTTAGTAGACGAGAGCACTGTGGGAGAGCATTTAGTAGACGATGAATCTTAAAAATATGACACGTTCTGTAGCCCTGCCAGGGGGATGGCGACAAAGCCCAATTCAGAGTGCTTTCATAACACGGCAAGGCCCTGGGCTTAATCCATGGGTTCTATCCTTAAAGACACTAAACATAAGAGAAGTTATCTTTGCGCACAGTAACGTTCCTTTCCACATACTCCTACAGACAGATACACCGTCAGGAATGGAGTTGCCATCCTGGTATCCTGTTATAAAACAGGAGGGTGACCATGTTTCTCAGACACACTCATTTTTACACCCCAGGTAAGTGAGTCTTCGTTTGTTTGTTGGCTTGTTTATGATTTATTAACAACTGTCTGTTACGTATCGTTCTGAGGAATGAAAGTTGTAATCACTTACCTTTAGCTTTTCCCTGATAATAGACTTTGAAGATTCAGAGTTGTTTCAGACAAGGACATCAGGATTGAACACACCTTTGCTTGTTTTTAATCATAGGAAAGTTGTTTAGCTATTTTATTAGAAAAAAAATTAAAGAGTCTAAAATGAAGTGAGTTGTAAAATTGTAGTGAACATTTGCAATAATCTTTATTAAGTTTTTTTCTAGAAATACAAAATTTCTACTTTGAAGTAGAAATTGAAAGAATTAATTTCTTTTATTTACCTTTGAGAGGTAAACTGACTCCTCAAGAATGTGTTACTTTGCTGTTTTGTTGTTTTTTTTGTTTGAAACAGATTCTCACTAGATAGCCCAGGCTGGCCTTGAACTAATGAAATCTACCTGCTTCTGTCTCCTGAGTGCTGAGATTAGAGGTGTGCATCCCTGCCCCTAACCTTAGTTTGATTATTATTATTTTTTTTAAATTGGCTTTGAAACTTGGAGATTTTATAATAACCACATCTTTCACAATCCAGTGTTTATATTTCAATAAAAGTGCATCCTGGTTGTCAGTATTAGTTTTATAATTCACACATGCACCCCATCACAATCATACAGTTCCCAAATAAGTCTTCAGGGCACTGTTAAATTCATGAGAGGTTGTGTTGGTTTAATTTTAAAGCAGAATACCAAGTATTCAGAATCAGACGTAAGAAGTAGTAGCATAACTGTCCTACGTACAGAGAGTGAGATGGAAACGGAGATTAAAATGACCGTATCTTTTCATGTGTTAAGTAGCTCAGATTTGTTATGTAAAGCTTGCATAAAGTCACCTCCTGAGTAATTTTATTTGCACTTTGAGAAAACTCAGTTCTTTCAGTTTTAGTTTTGTATAGTTTATTATTGCTGCTTTATTAAAAATTGGTTTTGTAGGGGTTGGTTTTGTGCGAACTTGACACAAGCTAGAGTCATCAGAGAGGAAGGAGCCTCAGTTGAGGAAAGGCCTCCATGAGATCTAGTTGTAAGGCATTTTCTTAGTGATTTATGGGGGGAGGGCCCAGCCCATGGTAGGTTGTTGGTGTGGGAAACCCTTCTGTGTTGCTTTCATTTATTAATGAGTAAAGAAGCTGCTTTCAGCCAATGACTTAACAGCGTATAGCCAGGCTGAAAAGAGATAGATATATAGAGAGAGTATGCAGAGTCATGGGGAAGTCATGGAGCCGCCAGAGGACAAAGACATAAGCCACTAGGTAGAACCTTGTGGGTAGGCCACGTGATTAGAAAATAACATAATAAAAGTGGGTTAACCAAATATGTAAGAGCTAACTAACAATACACTTAAGTAATTGGCCAAGCAGTGATTTAAATAATATAGTTTCTGTGTGATTATTTCGGTTCTGAGCGGCCAGGAACGAACAAGTGGCCTCCTACAACAAGTGGTGCCATCCCTGGGCTGGTGGTCCTGGGTTCTATATGAACACAGACTGAGTCAGTAAGCAGACTCCTCCAGGTTCCTGTCCTGACTTCCTTTGATGATGGACAGTTCTGTGGAAGAGTAAGCCAAATAAAAATAAACCCTTTCCTCCCCAATTTCCATTTGATTGAGGTGTGTCATTGTAGTAATAGAAACCCTAACTAAGACAGGTTTTGATGGAAGCATTGCCTGGTAGCTGGGCAATATTCCAAGAATGTGTCCTCTCACTGAGGCGTAGAAAAAGGCTCCTGGGAGCACCTCTTTGACTCAGTCACACACTGCTTACCTGTGGATAAGAAGGTAGGCATCCAGAGCAGCCTGCACCGTTCTCTCCCTGCAGTAAGCCTCACTGAATGAAGCACAGCGGCTCAGAAGCTCCACGAGGAACTTTATGCCAGTAGTTACCTGTGTCTTGAGAAAGGATCTCAGTGTCAGCCTGGGTGGGGAAGCATGCCTGGAGTTCTCTGTGTTGTTGCCCAGGCTAACTTTAACTCATGGCAAGTCCTCTTGTTTCAGCTCCCAGGTTTTGGGATTATAAGTGTGGGATGCCATATGTTTGGTTTCATGGCTTTAGTTCTCAGGTGCTTTGGAGGGAAGAGGAAGAGATTCACTTTTTCTTCAGTGTCTTTTTGATATTTTGAAATTACTCATAAAATAACAAAAATCCCTCAAAGTTTTGTTATCCTTAAGTCCTGACTTTTTTCTAAGAAATCTTTTTTGTGATCTCTGTTCTTTGTATTTTACATTGTTTGTCCTAGTAGCAGAGAGTATAGTATACTTAAGCATGTTATGTAATGTGTGTTTGTTTTACCTCTGTTTCCAGCTACTACTTGTACATGTGTGATAAAGTGGTTGCACCAAATGTGTCACTCACGTCTGCCTCCCAGTCTAAAGAGGTCACCAAGACAGAGACAAGTAAGTTCATCTCCAAACAGGCAGAAAAGCCTCATGGTAGTAGTAAACATCAAAAAACAGTGTCTTACCCAGACGTCTCACTTGAGGAACAGGAGAAAATGGATTTAAAAACAAGTAGAGAATTATACAGTCATTTAGGTAAGTATTTAGAAGTTATATTTTTAAAATCAGCTAGTTAAGAAAGACATTTAATCATTATTTTAAAAGCCTTTTCTATTTAAGGTAATTCCCCCCCCCATATAATCACAGCTTTTACTTTAAAACAGTTCTAACTTTGAAAACTCAGGGTGATTTCTTGCACCTCAGTTGTGAGGTTTCTAGAATGGTGGCAGCCTGTGGAGGCTAGTGAAGGAGAGGAAGCTGCACGTCTTCAGTGCAGATGGCTTTGTCACTTGCCCTTTCTTCCTTCCTCTGGTTGGTAGCATTCTTTAGCTCTTCCTTGTCTTTTTTATGATTTCTTTCTGTGAGCTGAGATGCTGTTTACATGATGTTAAGTATTTAATATTGGACTCACGGTTCAGGAATACAGAACTGGGGCTGCTTACATAGTAAAACAGATGGCATTGATGCAGATGCTGACTGGTATGGCAAAGAAAACCTGCCTGTTTCCTGTGCCTTTAAAAATGCTGTGGACTGTTGGGTGGTAGTGGTGCACGCCTTTAATCCCAGCACTCAGGAGGCAGAGGCAGACAGATCTCCGTGAGTTCGATGCCAACCTGGTCTACAGGCTCCAAAGCTACAGAGAAACCTTTAAAAAAATTACCACAGACCACAGGAGAGGTGTGCATGTGTGTGTTGCCCCATCCCATTGGACATTGCAGCTTTGCTCAGTGCCATGCGGTTGAAATCATTTGGCATCCTGCGAGTTTTCAGGCAGTCTCGCTGTTACGCTACACTACTTTCATAAAGTTTAACAGCTTCCTGTGTTTGAACTGGTACTGTTGTGACTTGGTTTCCTCTGAATTGAACTATGATGGGACTAATTCATATATCATTATATTTTCATTATTTGGTTTCACAGTTAATTAGATGACTCAGCAATTAAGAGCATTTATTGCTCTTTGGGAGGACTTGGGTTTGATTCCCAGCACCCACATGGTAGCTTACAATTTACCTGTAACTCTAGTTCCAGGGGTTTAATCTTCGCTGCAGGCACCATACATATATACACACGATGTACAGATGTACGTGCAGGCAGACACTGGTGACATACCATGTAACGAAGGTGTGCAGGTCATTTGTCCTAAGTGCAACGACCATGTTGTGAAGAGCCTGACAGCTGTTTGATCCCGAGCATTGTCATGGCTCCCATACGTGCCCCCGGCGCCCTCTGGCAGACACCCCATTCTCCTTTTAGCTCCTTGTTTGTGTGTGGTCATAGGATGTGCTTATTCAGACATTTTAGATAAAAAGAAGGATAATGTGTGAGGCTTCAGTGTCTGCACATCTGTGTCAGCACTGGTTACTGCCTGTTCTGGATGCAGGCATTGCAGTGGTTATGGTATAGTGTTGTACATGATTTTGGTTTGTAATTTCCTAATGGTTAATAAAGTTGAGTATATTTTTATGATTTTCTGGACATTGGATATTTTATTTGAGGAAAAAGTCCAATTTGCTTGTTTTTAAATTGGGTTGTATCTTTTCTGTTAAATTCCAGGAGTTCATTTTATAATTTGGTTTTTATTAGACATACGATTTGCTATTCTGAAGTTCCCTTTCACTTTCTTATTTAGTGATCCCTAAAGCATACGAGGTTGCAATTTTTATGCAATTCAGTTTGATTAATTTGCCTTCTTACCTCAGGTGTCATACATAAGAAAGCATTGTCTAGTCCAAGGTAATTAATTACAGTTAATTACAGCTAATTAACTGTAGCTCTTACAGTTAATTCTTTAATCTCATATTTAGGTATTTTGAATTAATATTTATACCATTTGTGGGGGTTCGAGACAGTATTTCTCTGTAGCCCTGGCTGTCCTGGAACTCGCTCTGTAGACCAGGCTGGCCTTGAATTATCAGAGATCTTCCTGCCTCTGCCTCCAGAATACTGGGATTAAAGGCGTGCACCACCACCTCCTGGCCTTGAATTACTGTTTATATACTGTGGGGAGTCCCACTTTTGTTTCTTAACATGTTAGTATTGCTGCTCACTTTTGAAGACATTGTTCTTTCTTGGTTGAATTGTTTCTTTCCTGATTGAATTGTCTTGGATCAATAGTAACAGCAGTTGATGAACGTCTGGATTTCTTTCTGGGCTCTTGAATTCTTGGGAATTGGTCTTTTGAGGCAAGAACTTCACTGGTAGCCCAGGCTGGTCTTGAACTTGTGACCTACACCAGTCTCATGTGTTGAAATCACAAGTATATGTCGTTTACCATTCCTGGCTTGGATTCTGATTTTTTTTGTTAGCTTTTTAAGTTAGCATCCAAAATACTAGGGTCCATTATTATATTTTCATACATACTCATCATTATACTTTGCTCTAAAAATAGGGAATGCTTCACAAGTTTGCATGTCGTCCTTGCTCAGAGGCCATGTCTAATTTTGAATCATTCTACTTTTAGCATATATACTATTAAAGTGAGCATTTGGACTCTGAATTCTTTTTTCCTGATTTAAATGTCTAGTCTTGTATCAGTACCACAATTTTGATTGTGTGTGTATGTACAATGTATGTTTATGTACATCTATGTGCATGCATTTGTGTGTGAGAACATGTGGAGGTTAGAGGACAGCTTTGGGTATTGGCCTTTACCTTCCACCTTGAGGCAGTGTTTTTGGTATTTTTTTCTTGAGCTTCTGGGATTTGTCTGTATCTACCTTTCTTTTTGCCAGTGTGTATATAGCTTCACAAGGATTCTGGGGATTCACACTCAGGTCTTCACACTTAAGTGGCAAGCACTTTACCAGCCCCACATTCTGATTTCTGTAGCTTGTGGGAAGATACGAAGTTGGGGGATGTGAGCCCTCCAAATTTATTACTATTTTTCTAGATTGTTGCAGCAGTTTTGAATTTCTCACATTTAAATGTGAATCTTAGAATGACCTAGTCGGTTTCTCTGAAAATAGAGCTGGGGTTTTGATGTGGATTACACTGAGTAGGTAAAGTCTTTTACTTGATGAGCATTGTAATTGTCATTGAATGCATTTGGTGCTGCTTTTGTTAATGTTCTTACTGTTTTTGGGTTGATTTAGAAATGGAATTGTTTCTTAATTTTGCTTATGGATTGTTCCCGGGACTTTTTGCCATTGATATTAATACTTTTTTTCCCTTCTGTTTCTTTCCAAAGATCCATTGATCTCAAATAATTCTGTGAGTAAAAAGAAATCTGAGTCTACTGTTTGCAACTTAGTGAGAGACATAAGCAAGCTTGATGCTGAAGCTTCATCTCCGCTTCTGGTCAGAGATGTTACTTGTGAGGACGACAAGGGAAAGATTATGGAAGAAGTGATGAGAACCTATGTAAAACAGCAAGAGAAGCTGAATTCAATTCTGCAGAAGAAGCAACAGCTTCAGATGGTAAATTGACTTAAGAAATAGTCATTATTATGATAGTTTTTCATGTTGAGAAAGTCAGAATGCAATGCAGCAGATGGACTCAGGATGGTGCAGTTTTATACTAAGAAGGCGTACTTCATGTCAGTCACTTCTCTGTAGGCATGCTACCGTAGCTGAGCTTTAGGTACCTCGTGATTTGTTTTTCTAAGGGGATGGAAATAAGGAGTTGTCACTTTATGTTACAGGAAGTGGAGATGCTGAGCAGCTCTAAGGCGATGAAGGAGCTCACTGAAGAGCAGCAGAATCTACAGAAAGAGCTTGAGTCCTTGCAGAGTGAGCATGCTCAGAGGATGGAGGAATTTCATATTGAACAGAGAGACTTGGAGAAGAAGTTGGAGCAGGTGATGAAGCAGAAATGCACCTGTGACTCAAACTTAGAGAAAGATAAAGAGGCTGAGTACGCAGCACAGGTGAGTGCACCAGTCACTCAGCATGGGTGGGCACTTGCTTCCAAGCAGGCTTCAGAACAGAAACTACTTTAAATACAGCTTTATGTTCTCCACTAAGGATGCTGGGATTTAAGGTATATACCACCACATTTGGCTCCAATAAGATTCTTTTGACCTTTATTATTTTCAATTTTTATTGGGATTCTGTAATTTAGTAATTACTGTCTAATACTCTCTGTATATAAAGTTTGCATCTTTTTGGGCTAGGGATATAGATGAGTATTAAAACACCTTAGCATTCATAGGACCCTAGGTTCAATTTCTAGCATCATATAGATGAATAAACAGATAATTAGAATATAGGTTTTGTTATTTTGATATAGTACGATGAGCTTTTGTTCCAAATTAGCAAACATGAGTAATTCTGTTACTGTTCTCACAAATATGGAGAAGATGAGCACATTATCATAGCAGCTGTGGAGAGAGTTGGAGTAGGCTAGAAGCCTTGCTCGTTCCTCTCCTGTTTCTATAGTTCAATGTCATGTCAGATGTCCAGAGTACTGGTGTTCTGAGATATGGAAATAGTTCATTTTGTAAAAGCGAATGGCAGTTTGTTTTGTAACCACGGTAAGGTGATTGAGTGGAAATAATCAAAGGGATGGAAACTAACAGTCTTTTAAATCTACAGTTGGCAGAACTGAGGCAGAGACTGGACCATGCTGAGGCGGACAGGCAAGAACTCCAGGATGAACTCAGACAAGAGCGGGAGGCGAGGCAGAAGTTAGAGATGATGATAAAGGAACTGAAGTTGCAGATTGTGAAGTCGTCAAAGACCACCAAGGAGTAGGAGAAGACATGCGTCTGTATTTGGTTGATAGGGATTTTTGTTTGTTGCTTGCTTGGAAATTTAATTTTATCATCTTATATAAATGAAGATAACTAGACATTCTGTTCATTTGTAGGGCAGCAAAGTGCAAAGATTATACATCAGTACATCATTTTTTCCATTTTCCAAATGAATGAACATGTTTGCTTATTTGTACTTTTTTCAGTCAGCTTGGTAATGCTAACCTATGTGATTTCAATCAGTGGACAGTCTACCTGTTTTTCTGAGGCAAGCCCAACAGTTACATACTTTTCACAGCTGCATTATGTGGTGGAAAAGAGCAGTGTCAATTCTGTGTACTTATTTCAGGTGGAGTTTAGATACAGTGGTAATGTTTGTTATACAGAGCCAGTCAACTCTGTATCTTCCTTCTCATTACACAATATTTTATTCTTATTACAGAATCTCCTCTTTTTAGTTTTTCAAGATAATGGTTTCTCTGTGTAGCTCCAGCTGTCCTGGAACTCACTCTGTAGAGCAGACTGGGCTAGAGCTCAGAGATACAGCTGCGTCTGCCTCTTGAGTGCTGGGATCTCCTCATTTTTATATACCAAGTCTGTGTTTATTTTGTTCAGGTTGTGGAATGTAGTACACGGATGGGATGATAGCACCACCCCAGTGTATGTTTCTGGGAGAGCATGCGTTGCTGTACCCTCATGCTGCACACAAAAGCAGTTGCAATTTGTCTTTTGGTTTAAGAGTGGCTATATCTAGATATGTGTGTGTGACTTAAGAAAATTAAAATGATTTCTTAACTTTTATTGTTAATGGTGTGAAAATACTCATCTTCATGAGGAAAATGGATTCCACTAATGTACGTTGGTTCCTCTTGTACAGTTTTTATATGTAGTCTTATAAAGGGTCTTACTGAATTTATATAATGGATTTTTTTCTTTTAAATTATAAAATATTAAATATCTTGAAGGTTATTTTGGACTTTTGTATGTTTAAATGTTACCTTAAAACTTGCACGAATGGACCATTATGACTCTTTAATCTTAAAATCAGGAATTTACAGTCAGCTAATAATATCTGATAGCTTAATCACCATTGAAGTATCTGCTACTAGCAGGAATTTTGGATGAATTTTAGATGACAGATGAATTCCATGATTTGGGGAAGGGCAGCCTCTGCACTTTTGTTTTTATTTTTTTGCACATTAAAGTCTGATACCTTTCACCAGCGGCTCTCACATTAGTTGATGCTCAGCTTGGAATTTACTAGGGGAGTTCTCAGAGAGCATTGTGGGTTTTCCTTTTGTTTTGTTTCCCCTTCAAATTGCAGGGTTCCTCCTGCCTCTGCCTCCCAAGTATTGGATCTACAGGTGTGGGCCCCACCTCACCTGTGTGTGTGTGTGTGTGTGTGTGTGTGTGTGTGTGTGTGTGTGTGCGTGTGTGTGTGCGTGTGTGTGTGCGTGTGTTTTAGGGAGGTTTCCTGAAAGCAGCATTGGCATCATCACCTCAGTTTTGTGTGTCCCACGCTGTCTCATGTCACTACATGAAGGGACTTGGTGTCTGTGCTTAGGAATAACTTAAGAGTTAAGGCTGTCACTGCTCTTTTGTTTCTTCATACTTGTTTCTTGATACTTATAAAAGCAACTTTTCCACTTTCCAAAGGGGAGTTTGCTTTCTAAATGTATTTTGACCGAAATGTGGATTTACTCCTCTATGTTAGCTTTATAATTTAATGTGTTGACTTTTGTAACCTCTTTGAGGAGAAACAGATGTAAAGTTGCACAGGGACCATATATGTCTTTGTATTTAGATCTGGGGAAAGAAAAATCACAGATACTTGTAAAATACTTTAGCTTAGTTGTCCGTTACAGCGCAGCTGGGCTATGTGGGAGGCAAACTTACACCATTTATTTTTCTGATTACTCAAAACTTCTACTTACGTGCTACTAAAGCATATGTAATTTTTCTAGTCCTTGAATGAAACTTGGCCTCATGACATTGTTTAGCATAGCCTTTACTTTCCAGAAGATGAAAGGATGTGCCATAGTTTTTTGTCTGAACTTCCTTAAAAGTAATTTTTAATCAGCTGTAAATATTATACCTACTGCTGTTGAAAGTAACTTTAAGTTACATTGCACCATATAGCTTGAAAACGAAATTGAAACTCTGTAGTCCTCCCAAAGTGACCTCTGCTTAAGTTCCCATATGAGACTTATTTTATGCATGCTCATTTTGTGTGCTGGTTGCTATCTTAAAGTTTGTTTTGGTGTTAGGTCTTGTGCATTGTGCCAAGCTTACTAGGCAGGCAGATACTTCCTCAGACTCCGTGTTATGTTTAGGAAGAAATGAGACCATTTGCTCTGAAACCCTGGGTTTAGGAGTGCACTGCAGAGTCTCTAGAGTACAGGAAAGACGGTGAGCAATGCTTGCTGTGGTGGGGATAGTTTCTCTCTGTGGTCCAAGTGTGGGAGCTCCTGCAGCCCTCAAGGAGACTCTTGAACCACCTGCCAATCACAACCAGGACTTTTGAACACCAAAAGATTTGACCAACAACTTAGGTTTGGCTTGGGCTTTAATATTTTTGACATACATTCTTTTGCTCGAATTTCTTGTGTTTTTGAGGATAAGGATGTTTTAAGCTTCTTGAACTAATTTTATAACATTTAATATATAACCTGTTTATATGTAAAATCTTTTGTACAGGGGTGGGAAGGAGTAATGAAAAAGCTCATTTGTACATAGTGAATTATAAAACAGACTGAAGTCGGGGAAACAGTGAGTACCACTTTGTTCGCAGGCTGCTGTGTCCTTTGAAAGTCACACCAGAACAGCCAGTTTCTCTGTGTGTCTGTAGCTTGTTTGCAAAATGAAAAGGAAACACAAGTAGTAAGAAACATGCCCACGGTATTTCCCTAGGAATAGCTGCAAAGCTGGTCCTGCAGGGCTCGGATCCACTTCTAGAAGGTGTGCTCAATATGTTATGCTTTGAGTGGGTCGGCAAGAACGTTAGTTTCTTTTTGTCCGTTGTGCATTTAATCCTTAGGCCAGGGCATTCCAAACTGATGACAAATTGTGTTCATCATGTACATCTGATCCTGCTCTTGTTAACGGTTTTATGGAAGCAATCAGCAATATGTGATATGAACTGCTTGTTATATACTATCCTTGTGGAACTGAGATATTTAAGCAGAACTTAGTATTTTCTTTTTCTAGTGTAAGATACTTAAGCATTTCCACTATTGGAAGAAAAACATATGGGTATTTTGTATTGTATCTTGTTTGAAAGGACAGTCTTTTTTAATCTTCCCACTTAAATGACTTTTAAAAATATATACAATTTGAAGCTTGTTTAGAAATAGAATTAAATGTCAAATATAGTGTTACTGTTTTGAAATTAGGAAGTAATCAAATATAAAACATTTTAAAATTAAGCCCAGAAAACAAAATAGTGTTCAAAGTTAGTTTAGTATAAAAGGAATTTATAAGATTTTTTTTCTTCAATATAGATACCTCACTTGAAAAAAAGAAAGCACAGCATGTTTAATTCTCACGAAAATACCCTACTAAAATAATTGCTAAACCTAGGACATTTCTGAGTTGTTAGAGTTTGTGATAAATGTAGTTGCCATTAGCTTTTTGCTGGAAATACTTATATTGGTAATTTTAAGGCAATGTAAGTCTTCAATTACTCCTCAGTTTTAACCTGTGAAGGCAGTAAGTGAATGGTCCCTTCTGCAACTACTGAAGCAAATTGACTATATTGAGCATAATTCAACTGGTAATTTTGCCAGTATGTATAGTTTTATGATTAAAATTGCTGTGGTTGGTTGCATTACATGACACACAAAACTGTCCTCTACCTCACGTGAAATAAATATTTTATATGGTTTTACTAAAAAAAATAAGATTCATCTATCTGGTTACTTAGTTTACAAATTTTGGATTATATTTATTGAAACATGACATACTGTGCTCTTAGCTTATACCTCAATTGTATTTTGTGCTGTTCTCCATTTTCATGCCTTGTATATAACTTGTATAGATGGTGGATGAGATTCCCAATAAAAGCTTTTAATGCCCATGAGATTTGGTTCAGGTCGTCTCAGTATCAACTGCTAACTTTCTTGTCCCCCTAAGATGGACATTTTCCTTAAATTTTAAATAAGTTTGCTTCTGTATGTGAGTGCTTGTGTGTATATATGTTTACCATGTGAATGACTGATGCATGAAGGCTGGAGAGGTGGTTGTGAGGTGGGTGCTGGGAACTGAACTGGAGGCCTCTGTAAGAGTATCTATCCAGTGCACCTGACTGCCCGGCTGTCCCTCTAGCCCCTATTTTCTCTTTCTGTACCTTACTCATAAGGCACAGATTAACATGGAACATTTATTTTATTATAATACTTTTATGTATTATTTCAGGTATTGAAAATAAACTCCAACCAGCATTTGGTGATTTTTTTTTTATTATTATTATTATTTTTTGTTGTGCCACTCACACCCTTGCTTTAAAACATTGCCCCTAAGTCCCCGACACGTTATTTCTTAGCACCACACATTCCGTAACTCAGGGCAAATTGGCAGAGTCAGAGAGAGTAGGTGGACTGGATGTTTTGGCTCGAGGCCCATAAGGATGATGTCATCAGAGCTTGACAAGGCTGGAGGGCCTGCTTTAGGTGAGCGCATGTGGGTATGGCAGGCAGTCCACACATGGATGTGTCTATGGCTCCCGATGGCATAGCAGTATGGAACCTGACTGACCCAAATAAGTGACCAGTAAGAAAGCAACACCGCTGTTTGCTTTTGACCAAAATTCCAAGTCACTCAGTCACTTGCCTCTCCTTGTGTGTTAGAAATGGGTCACAAGTTGAGTGGAGGTGGCATATGCTTTTATTCTCAGCACTTGGGAGGCAGTGACAGGTGTCTCTCTTAAGTTTGACGCCAGTCTGGTGTACAGAGTGAGTTCTAGGACAGCCAGAACTACACAGAGAAGCCCCGTCTCCAAACCAAAAACCAACTCCTCTCCCGTCTCCCACAAAAATAAAAGAAATAGGTATGAGTCCAGCTCATACTCAGCAGACAGCGGTCGCTAGAGTCGCGATAGAGTGCCACGCTGCACAATGTCCCTTCTGTGGCACGTGTAGACACATCCAGCTGCGCTCGGGGTGATTCACTGCTGCCGGTGTGTCCAGCCTCGTGTCCTCATCACCTCCAGACTGTAAGTACTGTTGGGCCATAACTCACTCTGCTTTGCTTTGTGTCTTCGTTTGCTGCTTCTGGTGCTTAGATGGAGTGAAAACGCTTGTCCTTGTGTTTGGCTTACACCAGTAGGTGAGCATTCAGTATCCACATGCCACACATCCTGATCTTCCTCCTTTCACCACGGAGAAGTACTCCTTTACATGTTCCTACCATAGTCTACCCTTTGTCTGCTGATAGCTCATTTAAGCTCATCCTTCACCTGTTAATTTTATAACTATTCAAGGAGCTGGCAAATACCCACCGGGCTGTGCCTTACACGTCCACCAGAAAAGCAGCGTAACCCTGCCAGCTTCTCTACATCTTTATGATTATGTGGGGCTTTCCATCAATAATAGTATCCACAGGCATACAAAGTGTGGCTTCATTGTGGTTTGACCTGCATTCCTAAAGTGTGCCCCCTTTCCTGTGTTTGTACAGCCAAGCCCTTTGTTCATTTTAAAATCTGGCTTCTGCTGTGCTCTGTTGAACTGTGTGTAGTCCTTCGCCTTAGTCCGGGTTTCTTCCCCATGCTACAGACAGAGCCCAGGGTCTCTTGTATGCTGAGCATATGTTAGTCTCTGTCTTATTCTTTTCAGAATGTGCCTTGTGTGCATTTCCTATCTTCGGATTTGTCTTTTTTATTGTAGTCTTAACTTGGGTCGGTGCCATGATAAAATGTCAGACAAAAGCCACTTAAGGACAAAGATTTGTTTTGGCTCACACTTCCAGGGGACGCAGTCCATCAGTTGATAGCGTGGTGGCAGGAGCTTGAGACTGGTTGTCATGTTACGTCTGCTATCAGGAAGCAGAGAGGCAATTGTGGTGCTCAGCTTGCTTGCTCCTTTTTATTCAGGCTGACGCCTCAGCCCTTGGGTTGATGCTGCCTGTATTCAGGGTCCTTCCTCTTCAGGTAGACCTCTCTGGAAATCCCCTGATAGTCATGTCCAGAAGTTTGTCTCCGCGGTTATCTTCCATCTTAGATTGGCCCAATGAATCATCACACTTTTGATGGGTAAATTTTCAAATTTAATAGCCCAGTTTATTTTTCTTCTGTTACTTGTGTTTTGGGTGTCATAATAATTGTCACGTAATTTTTGTATATGATGCAAAAATTCCTCCCTTCCTCCTCCTCTCCCTCCTCTTTTACATGTAAATATCCAGTTTTCTTAGCCCTCTTGTTGAAAAAAAACCCAAAAACACCAAAGCCCAACCTTTCTCTCTCCCATCAAATGGTCGTGGTGCCCTTGTTTGAAAAGTCACTTAAATGTACTTATGGACTCTTTTGTATCTGTCCTCACACCAGAAATACTGTTTCACATGGAACTTTGAAGTAATTTTGAAAATGAGGAGTTGTGAATCTTGTAAATTTCTTTTCTTTTTAAAACTGAGTTTCACTGCATGGCCTCGCTTGCCTGGAACTCAGAGATCTACCTTCCTCTCTGCTTCTCCAGTGCTAAGATCATGTGTGTCACCATGCCTGGCCCAAATTTCTTACTGTTTTGATAATCTGGTGTCCTTTAAGTTCATAACCTAGGAACCGCTTTGTGTGGTAGTGCCATTCTAATGAAATTAATCTTAGGGAATGTGAACTTGAGATGTCTCTCCACTCAGGTCTTTAATTTTATTCAGCATTTTTTTTTGGTAGTTTTTGGCCCAGAAATCATTCTCTTTCTTGGTTAAAGTTATCCCTAAACAATTCTTTTGGATGTATAGAATAAATTAATTTTCATGTCGTATTCTTTTTTATTTAGAGTAAATGAAATCGAATTTTACATGTTTATTCTGTAGCCTGGCACTTTGCCGAGTGGATTTATTAGCTGTGGTGTGTGTGCATGTGGTGTGTGTATGTAGTGCGTGCATGGTGTGTGTGTGTAGTGTGTGAGTGTGCATGTAGTGTGTGTACGTGGTGCGTGTGTGGTGTGGTGTGAGTGTGAATATGTGTAATGTGAGTATGCAGGTGTGTGTGAGTGTGCGTGTGGTGTGTGAAGTGTGTGTGTGTAGTGTGCGTGGATGTGTGTATGTGGTGTGTACGAGGTGGGTGTGTGGCTGAGGTCTTTGGTCATTCTTGATGACAGACTTTAATGATTCAGTCTTGTCACTATCTGTTCAAACTTTTCTATTCATTTTGTCTTGGTGGATATATGTGTCCAATAATATACACATTTTCTCCATTTTATTACCACAGAATGATTGCACTTAGTCTTACGGCTCTTTGTATTTCTGCTGTGTTGGTTGGAATGAATGCATTTTTCATTTTGGTTCCTTTCTACTTTTCTTAGTCCAGCTGAAGTTTCATTGATTTTTTTTTTCCTCTAACAAGGAATGATTATTTTTGAGGGTTTCCAAACCTATTTTTTAGAATAATTTATTTATTTGTATTGCCTGCATGTATGTCTGAGGGTGCTGGATCCTCTGGAACTGGAGTTAAAGACAGTTGTGAACTATTATGTGGGTGCTGGGAATTGAACCTGGGTCCTCTGAAAGAGCAACCAGTGCTCTGACCCTCGGAGCCATCTCTCCAGCCCCGAAGGTATCCAAACCTTCTGTGTTGTTTTTTTGGCCTCTTTTGAAATCCTTCCTCACCCGTATTACCTTGTTCTTTCTACAAGCTTCAGACTTCTCTTTGTCATCTTTTAGGTCTCAGATACAGCATTAGGTTGTTTGGGATCTTTAAGATTAAGAAGTACCATGTTTGTGTCTGTCGTGAAGCTCATTCGAGGGCAGAGGACAAGTTTGTGGTGGTGTTCTCTTCCTGTTTTTTTCTGAGTTTTGAGGATCAAGCTCAGGTTGACAGCTTGAGACAAGTGCTCTTACCGCTGGGCCTCTTGTTGCCTGAGGGACTCTCTTTTTTAATGCTGGTAAGTATTTAATGTTGGTAGTTATCGCCCTGAACTTCCCGCCTGAGCACTACTTGGGCCGCATACATGAGTCCTGGCATTCGCTGTTTCTGTTTTCATTTGTCTCAAACGAAAAATTTTTAATTTTCCTTTTATTTTTTTGGCTCTTTGGAATTTTGTTTAGTTTTTATTTTAGGAACTATATTTGGTTCCCACAAACTGGGAAGTTTTTGAAATGTCTCCTGTTACTGATTTCTAGTTTTACACTATTGTGGTTAGAAAAGATTGTTTTTACATCGGTTTTCATATGCATGGGATTTCGTTTTCCTTTCCCCATTCCCTTCCTTGTGTGCTTATTTGTGCATGTGTGCCTTATGGATTGACCAGGATGCCACACTATACACACACTGTGTCTACTGTTGAGCAATTCCCTTAGTCATCCTTGAAATTCTCAGTCTGTCTGTGACTGTGACATGAGTAAGTACTGTCTATTGAGATACCTTAGCTCTCAAGAAGAATTATCTTGTTTTAAATTGTGTGTGTCAGGACCCGGATATAACCTAGCTGTCCCTCAGCTGAAGAATGGATAAAGAAAATATGGTACATTTACACAATGGAGTACTACTCAGCTGTTTAAAACAGCGACATCAGAAAATTTGCAGGCAAATGGATGGAACTGGAAAAAATAATCCTGAGTGAGGTAACTCAGACACAGACAAACACAGTATGTACTCACTAGTAAGTAGATATTAACTGTGAAGTAAAGGATAACCAGGCTACAATGCACAGACTCAGAGAGGCTAGGTAACAAGGAGGACGGGGGTGGGGGCGACGACACACGGATCTCCCTGGGAAGGGGACATAGAGATCTCCTGGGTGGACTTGGGGAGGGTGGGGTGGGAACATGAGGGACCAGCTTGAGAGGTGGATGGACGAAGAGCGTAATGAAAAAAAAAATGAGAAAGGGGTGCATCTTGGAATCAGGTAGACACATAAACTTTGTTTTGAA